CTCATCGGGACGGTGAATATCTAAAAGATGGCCAGTACCAAGACCGCAGGAAAAACGAAGAATCTAGAAAGCTCACACACTGCCCGGTGGAGGTATGAAACCAAACAGCTGCTCTGTAACAGTCTGGGAATTTCTCAGTAGTTTTAAAATACGTTTCACCGTTATTAACCTGCAACTTAATTCTTATGTGTCTGCCCAAGAGAAATGAAGACGCAGATCCCCAGCAAAGCTTACAGAGAAGCTTTATTCACAATAGCCAAAAGCTAGGAACAACCCAAACGCTGACCAAAAACGGAATGGATAAGTAAGTAGTGGTGAAGTTAACAGGCAGTTGTAAGTGGTTACAGGGTGGCATAAGGGAACAATTTGGGGCGATGGACATCCCTGTATCTTCACTGCGGTATTGGTTAAATGGATGAATTCACCTGCCCCAACTCACTGAACTGTGCAGTTAAAACGTGCACTTTTTCAAAGGTAAAATGAGTGCATTTATTACATCTTAATAAAGTTGCTTAGAACGTATTTCCCCACAAATACTGCGTGGTCTCATCAAATTGGGTTTAAAGATTCCAAGTAACAGGCAGATACTACCTGATTGGATTTAACAAGCCAGATCAAATTATCTGCTGCCTAAATAAGTACGAAGACATAAATTTAAAAAGGGGCTAGTAAGAGCTGCAGCGTTTGTAGCGGTCAGTTTCATGTGTCTGTCTGGCTAAGGGATACAGGCACGGCCGTGAAGGCTCTGTAGATGAGATAAAAGTTTATAATCAGCTGACTTTCAGAAGGCAGGCTGGTGGGCTGACTTCATCAGCCGAAAGCCTGCGGACGGAGCTGAGGCTCCCCTGAGAAAGGGGACATTCTGCCGGTGGACTTCCGCTTCAGACGGCGCCCAGGAGTCCTGCGCCGGCCCTCCCCGAGGGCTTGCTCTGTAAATGTGACAACAACGTAGCTAGCTGTCACGAGCACACAAGCCAACGTCTTGCGGTAAATCCCGCAATATGCACATACCCGACTGATTCTCTGGTGTAACTCTGATAAACCGTGGTAGCACTAAGGAAGAAGAATCTGAAGTTGGCAGTATTAGTATCAGACAAAGTAAAGTCAGAGGAAAGGCTGCTACAAGGAATGAAAAAATATTTCATTATGATCACGGTGTGGCTATAACCAGAAGGATACAGCATGAAACATGTTTCAGTAAATTAAAAAGTGTTCTAACCACACAAAGCACGTTCTCTGATAGCTGAATTGTATTAGGTTTCAATAAAAGAAGGATCTCTGGAAATCCCCGTAACATTTGGAAACTGAACATCACAATTCTAAAAAACAACTACCTGAAGAAGAAATCAAGAGAGAAACGAGCATTTTGAAGTGAATGGAAATGAAAGCACAACAGGGCACGTTCTGTGAGGCGCCCCTGAAGCTGTGGAGAAATTAATAGCTGGAATGCTGCAAGTTATTAAAATGTTGCCCCCCCAAATAACCTGAACAGCCACACGTACTAAAGAAACTGAATTTTTAGCAAAAAAAAAAGACCAAACAAACAAACAAAACAAAAAATTAAACTTCTCAACAAAGAAAACAAAGGTTTACTCTGCTGCTTCCAGGAAAATGCAGGAGGCAAGGGGGAAACCGATGAGGGCACTGTTAACGGATTCTTTCAAGCAGGTGCACAGATGCAACACACTGACAACCAAAAGGCAGCAGCCATTTTTACAGAACGTGGCAAGCGGACTCAAGAATCGGAACGGAGGGGCAGTGGGCCTCCTGGTACGTAAGGACAGAGACTGGGACTCACTGAAAGTTACAGCCACCTGCTGCAGGGATCGAGGAGCAATCAGGGGAGCAAGAGAGTATTCAGAAACACGCCCACCTACGTGGACACCTGAGCGCAGCACCGGGTGAAGGATGAGCTTTGCAATAAACGGTACTGAGAAACACGACATAAAAAATACTCAGCTGGGGTCTCAGTGTCGACCACCTGCTCACACTCAGTGAGCACTCTGTATTTCTGAATTCTGACATCTCCTGGATGAACAAAACGTAAGTGCTATAATGAAGGCATTTTTGAGTTTCTAAAGACAAGGAAGATTTGGTTTATAAAGGGCATGTGGTAGGTTAGGCAATGAAGCCGGGGTTTTAGCACTGAAGGTTTAAAGCAATGAGATGATTACATCTGGAACTGAGACGTGTAACTGGAAGCCATGTGGGACAGGGGCTCAAAAGGGGAAAAAGTAAAGGTCCTCCCTGGCCACTCAGGGGAGGACCGTGGCCAGCCCAGGCACAGGGAGAACGGACCCAAATTAAAATCGTTACACGGGAATGAAGACGAGGGGATAAATCCGGGAGGAGGGCAGTGAGGCAGAAAGAAGGGAAGGAGGACTTCCGCTGGCCAGTGAGCAAGCCCCGACTGGCAACACCGCGACTCCTGTGGGGGAGGCTTCCAGCCCGAGCAGACAGCGGCCGGCGGGGAGACACCGTCCTTACTCCACGTGGCTGTAAAAGTTTGCCTTAATCTTCTGAAAATTAACGCTCAGAATCCATTAAAAGAAATCCCAAGAGGTCTACAGTTACCCATACACTGAGAGAGAGGTTAATTTAAGACGGTGTGAACGTTTTGAATTGTTAAAGCAACATACCCAAAAAAATGTGAAAAATCAAACTGTTCATTTTTCTGAGATCAGTACTCACATTTCTGTAAATCCACACAAGGAAACGACTCGAAAAATTAGAGCTAGTTAAGTACAACTGTAAATAACATTTAATACAACTGTAAAAACAGGAGATACTCTAAAGGCCAACATAAATGAAATGTTTGAACGTAACTCCTGTAATTAGCCGTTTTTAGTAAATAAAAGCCATGTGCAGACAACAGAAGGATATGGAAGAATGTTTACAACTTAATGGCTAACACAACAAAAGCCATACTAATGTCCTCATTCCTGCGAACCATTTATTGATAGCTCTGTTAGAATGGTAAATTTATGAAGACAAAGAGCAGGTGACAACCACACACAAAGGAAATGTCTGAATGTTGGAGAAATAAACACTGGTGAACGTTTATTTTTCTTGAGTATGCCTTCGGTGTTATACTGTTCAAGCTTCAAGGGAAAATTTAAATTTTTTACCTTTTTATTATGAAATGTTGCGCACAGGAAAAAAAAAAAAGAGACATGAATGTACCGTGCGATGAATGTCTGCACAGAACGCCTGGGGACGATTCAGGCCTCACGCGGAACGCTGCCACCGCCTCAGAAGCCCTCTGTGTTCCTCTCTGTTCGTACTTCCACCCCGCCCTCCAGAAGTCGACACTATTCTTCTTCCGTGTTACGGTAATGCTTTCCTCGGACTGCGTGGCAGTTTTAGCTGTTAGCATCCGTGAACAAATCTCTGTAACACAGACCTTCCTTACGCCTAAGCGGCATGCGTTGACCCTACTGCACTGGGCTTCTTTTCCACACGTTGTTGATAAGATGCACCCAGACGCTTGTGCCCCCCACCCATGCATCGCGGGCACGCCCCGGCAGCGTTCCAGCGGATGAACGTCTCACTGTCACTCACACATTCTACCACGCATGGACATTTGGGTTGTCTCTAGTTTGGGACCATTAGCGAATACGCTGCAAGGGAAGTTCCCTGAGAGTCAGACGCTAGATCACAGAGCACGCGCACCGTCACGTTTACGGTAACGCCAAACGGCCCCCCAAGGGGCATCACTCACCCACTCGGGCAGCGTGACCGCGTCTGGGACGGCACGACACGCCCTTCTCCGCACCTAGCACGTGAGGGCTGGGTAGCTTCCCCAGCCTGACAGCTGTGTAGCCAGAGCTCACTGTGTTTTTAACACACACTTCCCTAGTTACGAAAAGGCTGGACACATTTTCACGTGTCCATTGACCAACTGGAATTACGTGTTTGTGAAGTACTTGTTCAAATCTTCTCCCGTTTTTCAAAATTGCTTTGTCCTTTTCAGAAACGTTTTCTAGGGGCCCTGGATACGTTCTGGGTGCCAGAAGTCCGAGGCTCAGTCACGCCCTAGCTCGGGTGGTGCTTACTAAGAATGTCTTCGAAGTCCCGCCGCGGGTCTCCAGTCACCCACAAAGCCCTCTTCAGGGACACACGTTCACCTTTCAGGCCCCCCCGACCTCTGTCTCAGGCTGCTCTATATAATCCTATATAATCTCCCCTTGGGTCCCTTCCCTGCGGTTTAGCGGTTTCAGGTTCTCTAATTAATTCATGGATGCACCTCCTGTGTCTCCAGACTTTGCCAGCTGAGAGCACATATTTGGGGGGAGCAAAACAGTTATTTTTAGAGGCAGAAAATATTACAGAGATTTTTACATATGTTTACTATATAGTTTCCATGGTGTCTGTTGTCAGGAATAAAAAGTTGCTTAATGAACTTGATCACGCAGGACAGCACATAGAAACATTAATGTGAAAACCACACAGTAAAATCAGGGTACCTGAAAACAATGTTCTCTGAACTTTTATAAAGGCAAAAAATATTGAATGGTACAATTATTTGTACCTCTGCTCAGAGGTTCAAAACCTATTATTTCACTTAAAAGAGTTATGTTTAACTATTGCAAAATGCTTAGAATAAATAAGATGCAAGTATGCAAAAATTCTAGTTCGCCTTAAGACGTCACTGAGTGACGGTATAAACGCACTTAACAGGCAGCCGCAGCACTCAGTTTCGTTTTCACTGCTTGAGTGATAAACAGCACCACAGGTTATCAAAACGGTGGCAAGGCTGGCATTTCTAAGTGCTTCATTAAATCGGTACTGTACTTCCTAAGATAAACATCTCAGTACATTTATCCAATTTCATACCCTTAAGCAAAAACAAAATCATGAAAAAGTTAAAGCAAAATACAACTTCAAATAAATTAGAGAAATACCTTAGTAATAATAAAAATAAGCAACATTGTTAGGTAGCGTGAAAATAAGTGAATTTTCGCAAACGTAAGCCGTGAGAATCAGAGCTCGTCACGTACCACAGCACTCAGGACACTTCGGGTGTTTCAGGACGTTTATCCCGAACCCGGGGAAGCAGCGGTTCATCCACACCATCTGGAAAGTGCCTTCGATGTGGTAAATCTCAGGCAGGGATTCTGCGCGTCTGCCCACCACTTCCACTTGCTGACTGAAAAATCTCTCTATGAGGCTTTTAGCCTAAAATAGAAACAGAACTTTTTTCATATTACATTATCATAAATATATCATCACATTATATTATCATAAAGAGATGTATTGTAGGACAAGTAAGGTTGCTTGTGTATTCAGAAGCAGGAGAAACAAACTCTGTCTTTATCTTTTCTTGAGTTCACAGAATATAAATCATACACATAAAACTGAAAAGATGTCACCCAGAGGCCTCAAATGTTTGCAAATGTACTTCCCGAGACAACACAAAGGAAAATTTCAATATATAACCTACCTTTTCTGGTGCCCCTGGGTTTGAAGAACACATGGATGGACACTGGAGCAACACGAAGACAGCTCTTTGAAGTTAAATTTACCTTTAAGCAATGCTCTCTAGCAATGAACTGTTCTTAAAGAAATGTACTTTAAGAATCTTTGTAAGAAGTCTCCTGAGGCGGCCAGCCGCTCCACTCTTCCCACAAAGAAAAATTAGGTTTAGAGACAAGAGGGAATAGAGCACATGTTAAAACTCATAGCTCTGTTTCAGAAGTCAAATGTCCAAAGTAATTGAGGCTTCACTCCAATCTCTGATAATTAGTTACCTCTTGCCCGGTAGTAACTACCGTGGCGCGACTCCTAAGGTTAACAAGAGGCTTGTAACATCTCAGTGACTGGTGCGCTTCCCCGTCGGAGCAGGAGGGGCGGGCAGGAGCTCACACCCTCCGGCAGCCAGCCGCCCTCCGGCTCCCCTGCGCTGCCCTGCCCTCTGGTCCCGCCAGGAGCGCGGGCTCCGGGCACCACGCTCATCTACGACCACTAACGGTGTGCCCCAATCTACTCGTTTCTTCAGGTATCTTGCAAACTGCGTCCCTCCCACGAAACTTTCTATAAATAACTGTAAAAAACATTTTTCAGTATACTGTATTCAAGTCTTATTCTATTCCTGAATTGCTGCATTTTTTACAGATGAAATAGTTTTCCTGGGCTTCTAATAAATTCTGTCAAGTTTGCCGCTATTTACAATTTTGGCTAAGGAAGTGCTTTTATGAAGTAATCAGCCACAAACCTGGTATTTAATTAAGTATATTTAAATGCGGGACTGCCAACGGAAGTTTTAGGAGACACAAACATACTCACTTGGCTTCCTGACACCTTATCCAGAAAAACAAAAAAACAAAAAGCAATGGAACCGGGCCTGAGGAAACCTGGCAGGAACAAAAATCATGTTGTAAAGCAGATGCCTGTTGTCCTTGTGAAAAGCAGGATGAGGCTAAATCTCTTATTTGACAAAAATGGAAAGAAGGTAAGGAATTATCTGAATCATTAACAGATTTTTTTTTATACTAAGTGTGCTGATGGTCGACAAAGGGTGAAATGGAGGAACTCTCTCAGCTGGGCAAGGAGTAAAGATGATAAAGCGAAACTTCCTGGACCAGTCTGGACGACGCGAGAACAAACCGTAATTACAGAAACACAGATAAATTCATCAGCTGACTTAACGGAACAGACATCAGACTGCCTAGCCCAGGCTGCTTCTCCCTTCACTCCCCTAAAAAAAACTTTACAGAAGGGTCAAGTGTGCATACAAGGGGTAAGCTCTGTAACTACCAGGTATATTGACTACTGGACGATAGGAAGAAACCATTACCACCGCAACAAGAAGCAGTTTGTAAAATAAACTTCTGGGGGGGCGGGGGTTATAGCGCAAGTGGTAGAGGGCCTGCCAAGCATGCGTGGGGTCCTGGGTTCAATCCCCAGGACCTCCACTAAAGAAAAAAGAAATTAAATGAATAAACGTGATTACCTCCCCCACCCTCCCCCAAAATAAAATAAATTTCTGCATGGAGAGGTTGAATAGCTTGCTTTAAATGCCATCACCTGCCCCCTGTTCATCAAATTAGGGACCGAGAGAAGGGCCGAGAGAGGCTTTCGTGTTTGTTCAACCGAGTCCAGCCAGCTCAGAGAGCAACTACTTAAAGCCACGGCGTCCCAGGACAGGTAAGAAACGTCACACCGCGCACATGCCCGGAGTCCGCCTGGCGCCCCGCCACGCCCGCGGGGACAGCGAGCACGTTCCAGGTGCTGCAGACACGGCGCTTTCAGGACGGAGTCCGCTGGAGACCTTTGGTTAACACCTGTATGGGGTACCTCTCTGGACAAGGGCTACAGTTATCAAATGGGGCTGGAACAACAGCAACACCACGTGGAAACAGCGGTAAGGTGTCTTAGGGAAAAGGGAAACAACCGCGAATCCGCACGGGATTGTTCAGCGAGCAAAAATCGGGGGGGTGTGCAGACCCTGCAGGACATGTCCCAGTGAAGCACTCCTGAAAACGATTGAGGCGTCCCTGTCACGCAGGAACACAGCACGGACAGTGCACACGCACGCGCACAGCGAGCGGGCGGAGACTCTGGGGCAAAGCCTGGCTGCGAAGCAGAGGGCGCAGGGGAAGGGTCACGTCGCCCCGCGAGTCCTGGGAAAGCTGGGCTCCATGCTAAGAAGTGCACTGACTTCCAGAACTTGGCAACGCAAGAGCGTAGCCTCGCTCTGTAGAGACGGCTTCAACCCTGAAGCCAAAGACAAGAGTCCCCTCTCCACCCCGGGCGTCCCTGGGACGCGGCCGCTCCCCAAGGCCTGAAACCTGCTCTAGAAAACCGGGTTCTCTCCGAGAAAAAGTGAAGGCGAATTACAATTCAGGTTTTGAAATTATTAGAGATCTCAACTGTGACACTAAGGTGTTTAAAGCAGCGTATTTCAAATCGGAGAAAGCAGAAAGGGAGCGGGAGGGCAGAAACGACACTTAAAGATGCAGACGGTGTCACATCTGCAACCACACGGTGGGCCAGAGACTCTGAAGGATCCTCCTGCTAAAAAGCACCCAACTGGACAGAACCGAACAAAGATCTTGTGTGGCTGCGTTTCAACGACAAGAGAGGAAGAAAAGCGGCAGAAGGGAAAAAAGGACAAGGGGAGGGAGAGAGAGAAAGAGCAAAGGGCATTAAAAATGAAGAGGAAATTACAGACCGAGCACTAGCCAAGTGCCCATCTCATTTCACATCAGTCTGAGTACTCCAGCGCTGTAATTTACCAGCCGAAAGAGACAAGGAAAAAAAGCCTTGAACCTGTTAAAAAACAGGCAAAGCAAAGCACTGAGCAAGACACTAAGTACAACAGCGGAGCGAGCGGCGATGAAGTTCAGTCACAAAAGGGAAATAACAAGACAGCTGCCTGTGGGCCCTGGGGCAGGGAGGGGCGGGGGCGGGGGCGCGGGGCGGGGGTGGCGGAGCCCAGACTCCTCCGTGAATTCCTACACAATGGCTGCCTTGCAGGGCGGGCGTGGGTATCGTTACTGTGTTTGCTGTGTGGCACAAGATGCCCTGGTCAGAAACTACCGTAACGTGTGGCTTTGCTGGGGAACAGCCGTGGACCGTCAGGCCACGCTGCGGAGTAGCGCAGACCACCTAAGCCAAGGGGGCGCACCTGCCGACAAAGTGCTGCTGGTGAGAGAGGCCGCGGCGGCCAGAGTTACGAGGAAGGGGATGGAGTGAGAAGCAACAGGAGGGACAACAAGCCGCGAAGTCAGACCGTCAGCGGCACCTCGGCTACCCACACTGGAAAACGATACGAAGCACATCCAGACATAAGTGGTTAAGGAAACGCAGGACAAGAAATTTAAACACCACAATAAAAGAAACGGTGTATCTGAAAAATAAGCCACTTAAACCACAATTAATGGAGGGAGTGGAAAAATGGAGTGAAATTTAAAACGCACTGGACAGACTGAACGTCAGATGAGACCCAGCTGGGCCAGAAATATAGAACACTATAAATGACTGGAGAAACTACTCAGAATAAAGAGCACATAAAAGAAGGGGGGAGAAAAAAGCAGGAGACATGGAGAAATCGAGATAATCTAAAACTGTACTAAATGGAAGTTCCAGAGAAGCAAATGGAGCCAAAGGCAATTTTCAGAAGTGTTCTGGCAGAAGAATCTCCAGAACTGATGATGAAAGCAATGAATCCTCAGACTGCAGTGGAACGGCACGTACTGGAAGAGGAAGCACGACCTGACAAGAAAGGCTGGGGTGCAAGGAGGAGCGGAGAGCAGAAGGAAAGAAAAAACGGGCAAAACTCTGGGGAAACCTAGACGGACACTGACACTCTGAAACAATCTAAAGAATAAGTAAAAAAAAATTTTAAAAAGAACTACAACACTAGAAAACCAAAGCTTGAAAGACTGAAGCAGGTCCTAAGAGTAAAAGGTCTTTATGGTCTTTGTTGGTTTCTGGGGGGCGCCGTGAACTATGGAACTTTTGGTTCTGTTATCAAGAATGGATGTTACAATTCGAAGCAAATCCACAAAAAGAGTAAAAAATATATACACAAAACAAGAAAAAGTCAATTTAAAAACCTTTAATCAATCCCCAAAAATAGGGAAGGAACAAAACCTGAACAGAAAACCTGTAAATGATATGATGCATAATCTCACCTACAAACAGAATCATAAAAATATCAAACTCACAGGTACAGAGAACAGACTGGTAGTTGCCAGGAGCAGGGGTTAAAGGGTGGGTGAAGTTAATCAAAATGTAGTCACAAGGTGCAAACTTCCCGTTGCAAGGTCAGGCCGTCCGGGGAACGTGATGCACCGCACGGCGACTCTCGTTAATACTGCTCTGTATATCTGAAAGTTGCTCAGACAGCAAATCGTAAAATTCTCATCACAAGGAAAAAGATGGCTAACTACACGTGGTAACCGATATTAAGTGACTGTGGTAACTGTATCAGAATATATACATAAATCAGACCATTTCGTTGCACACCTAAAACTAATACAGTGTTACCACTTACATCTTAGTATAAATAAATACATAAATGAAACTCTAAAAATACTTTAAAAACTGAGTAAGAGTGGCATAGGAAACAGAGGAGGAACAAAATAACAAAAGAAGAAGGAAAATGAGGAAAAAGGAGGAAAATACTAGGTATTTACAGCCAATCATATCAAGAGTTACATTAAATGTTACTGAAGTAAGTATTTCAACTAAAGAGTTTTTTACTGGGGGAAACGGGGTCAACTGCATGCTTTCTACAAAAGACATGCATTTAAAATATAAAGACAGACACATTGAAACTAAATGGATAGAAACACACAGCTCTTGCGAATAGTAACCATCAGAAGACAGGTAACAATATTAATTTGAGACGCAATTTGAGAATAAGAGATAAAGGGGGCGTTTATGAGGATAAAGGGATAAAAGGATAAGGGAGGCACAAGACTTTTAAGTGTACATGTGTGCCATGAGCAGAGCTTCACAATGAATGAGATGAAAACTGACAGAAGTGAAGGAAGAAGTAAGTAATTCCACAATCATAAATACAGATTTTAACATCACCTTTTTTTAGCAAATGATAGAACTACACCTTTCAACAAAAATCAGCAAAGACATGGAACAGGTTTGACAAACTATATACTGCCCACTAGCGAGCCACCTGTTTCTGTAAATGAAGTTGTACTGAAGCACAGTGACACGCACTCATTTACGTGCCATCTACTGTTGCTGCTGCACAATGATGGCAGATTTCTTGGTTGTGAAAAAACTAGTTGGTTTTGTCTGAAATATTTACTGTTTGGCCCTTTACAAGGAAAATTTTATCAACCTCTTAAAAAAAACCTAACAACTGGATTACTCACCTTTATCTGATGACAAAACATTACGCCCAGCATCTACATAACACTCATCCTCTCAGATGTACATAGTACATTTCACAAAACTAGGCCATGTGATGAATAAACTTAGAAAGACTTAACATACACAGTGTTTTGACCACAATGGAATTAAACTAGAAATCAGGAACAATACAACATAAAAAATGCAAAATATTTAGAACTTAAGCAACCTTTTACTAAATAATTTATGGGTCAAAAAAAAGGGAGCTAGAAAACATTTTGAAACAGAGAACACACACAACTCAGCAATGCAGAAATGAGAGATTACCAGTACAGATGCTACATATGTTAAAAGCGAAATGAGGGGATGCTGGGCAAAGAGCACAAAGGTCCAGGGATGTGGGATGAATAATTTCTGGAGATCTAACGTACAGCCCGGTGACGCCAGTCACCCAGACTGCACTGTACACTTGAGATCAGCCAAGAGATGATCTCAAGTGTGCTCACCACTCCCACGATAAAGCAAGCACATGAGGTGACAGATACTTTAGTTAGCTGAAGTGTGCTATTATCTGCATATATCAAACCATTCTGCTGTACACCTTAAATATATACAATTTTTACCAAGTGTATTTCAATAAGGCAATCAAAAATATAATTTCTAAAAATGATGCTAGAAACAATTTTATGCCCATACAGTTTGACAGTCTGGATGCAATGTATGATTACCTTGTAAAGTATAATTTACCAAAACTGAACAAAATGAAAACAAAAATCCGGATAGACCTACATCTAATTAACAAATGTCACTGCTGACGAAAATGTGCCTCAAAAGGACACTGTAAGCCGAGGTGCTGTCGCTGGTGAACTTCACCAAACATTTAAAGAAAAAGAGTAATCCGATCATTAAAACCTCTTTTGGAAAATGTGAGCAAAGAGAATGTTTATTAACTCACTGTGTAAGGCCAGTGTTCCCCAATAATCAAAACCTGACCAAGTCATTACAGAAATAATAATGTAACTATTCACACAGACACAAAATACATAACAAAATTTTAATATAATGAGGATATGTCTTTTTTTCAATAGAAGCAGAGAAAGTATTGGACACAACTGAACGAACATTCATAACATAGTCTCTCAGGAAACTAGGAATAACAGGGAACTTCCTGGATTGCATAAAAGTCATCAGCGAAAAATTCAACTTAATATCTCACTTAATGGTGAAAGACTAAAAGCCTTCCCCTCAGATCAGGAACAAGAAAAGGGTGTCCACTCTCACTGCATCTGTGCAGCATGACGCTGTAGACTCTAGCCATTCCAACAAGATCAGGCAAGAAACATCAGAAAGAAGAAATGCTGTCTGTTTGCCCGTGACAGGATGGTCCCACAGAAAATGCGAAGTATTCCATAAAGCAGCTACGAGGAACTAACAAATGAACTGAACAAAATGGCAGGATACAATATACGAATACACAACACGCAGACATTCGCTGGGAATCGAAACAGTTTGGCAGACAAATGACTTCTTTAAATATTCCACTTATGACAGCACCAAGAAACCGCACAGAACACTGAGGAATGAATTCAGCAGAAAACATGTAAGACCTTCAAGCCAAAAAATGCAAGCAAACAAACAAGCAAACAAACATGGTGAATGTTTTTTAAACCTAAATAAATGGAGGGAGACACCATTTTCAGGTATTAGAAGACGAGATACTTAATGTCCCTTCTCACCAACTGACCCACAGATACACTGCCACTCCAATCAGAGGCCAGGGTTATTTTTAGAAAAATGACATGCTGCTGCGGATTTTCAAAAAGTTTTGGAAGTGGAAAGGATCCAGAACACCCAGAACAATCTCGACAGAGAATTAAGATACAGCGCTTGTACTACTTGAGATTATTACTAAACTTGCTGCAGAGGTGCGGAAGTGAAACAGCGGGGCCCTGGCATGAGCACGAACAGATCAATGCAAGAAGACAGCGCAGCCAAGAGGAAATATAAACTATTTGGGTCAAATCCCCAAAGAGCCACACAGATCTTCACTGGGGCAAATATGCCCAAATAAATTTGGACTTAGTTTAGGGGAAATTTCAAATTACTTAAGTCTTGCTAAAATCAAAGAAACGAATTTAGTAACAGACAGGAGCTAACGCCAGATGAAAAAGCCCTAAGGCAGAAAACTGAACGAACCCAACAACAAGGCAGACAGATACATTCAATCGTCTTTTAAGTCCCCAGAATGCTTCTGTAAAAACACTCTTGCCTGTAACTTCTAAACTGTTTTTATTATGATGCTAGACATTTATAATGTTATTATATTGGCAACAAGCCAGAAAGCATCAATCTTTGTTTTGCCCTAAGAAACCAAAAAGAGACCATTTTATGCCAGGAAAAGAAGGAAAGAAAAGAGGAGGAGGGGGAAGGGAA